GGTAAGTATTCTGTAAAGTTTTTGCATAATGTCCATAATTATTCTACTAACTAAGAGATATTGCAACCATGAAAGCTCTTGTAATCCCCCGCGTAATGGCATAAGCCGCTCTTTTGATGAAAATTCCACACTTGGTGAAACACTTTCAACGTAGCTAGCATGCCTCTTCTTAGGAACTAGCCACTCCAAAAGCGTATATGGTAGAGCCTGAAGACTTCCTCTTTGAACCAAGTCAACTCTTGGGGAAGGGACATGAACCTTACCTTTGGTTAGGGACAGTTCCTAGCAACACTGAAGAACCACGCTAACTCTTCTCAATTGGGGCTAAGAGAAACGAATTTCCGATTGGAACTAAAAAGTTTGAAGAACACACCAGACAGTAACAATGCCCACGAGGCAAACAAATTTAAAATTGTAGGAACAAAGATCAAGTTCTGCCGCAATAAGAACTCGCTGGTCAATCCAAGGCGAGAAGACTAACAAGCGAAAAGGTGGACTAGACAACCATAAAGAAGAAAAAAATGTATACCAAACACACAAAGCTAAATAAAAAGCACCAAGCATTGATGTAAATGTATATTTAAATATTGTTATTTTTTCAAGGCATGAAGCCCGACCAACATTACAAAAGGAAAGAAAAAACAAAAGGAGAAGAATATCAGATTTCCTCTCTCTAAGACATTGCGCCTTGGTCGTCCACCAAAGCCTCGTTCAGATCAACTTTTAAAGGGTCTAGTGTTGCAACAGGGATAAGAACGTCCGAGCAAAATTCCTTAGCCTGATCCACTGTCTGATCGAGAACCCTGTACATATTTCACACAATTCTCGAAGAAACTCTCAAACTCTCACCTTCAGAGAAGCCACCTCACCCTCATGAGCTCTCTAATCATCATCGCAAGACTCATTTTCTTGCTGAAGAGCTTTCCGAGCCTTCTCAACATGAAGGTTTGCCTCAGTTACAACATTAGATGTCTCTTGACGTCACTTCTTCTCTGCTTTGAGGGAAGATTTCACCTGAGCTAATATTTTTTTAAAATGTTTTTCTATAATATTTGACAGTAAATTCTAAAAAATATTCAAAATAGTTATAATTTGATTAGAATTTATTTTATAACAATAGTTAATATTTTAGTATAATGCTCAATCTACCTAAGATTAAATACTTAAAATTAGGCATGACAACAAATTTTGAACCAGATGACCCACCTAAAATTGTTCTGACTTTTACAAAAAAAATCCCGCTTTAATTGGAGCAGAAGAAGGGGTGAGTTTTCCCTGATATTTAAATTCGGAGGCGGGGGCAAGACGAGGATGTTTATATCCGCCCTATACATGCCCATTCTGTTTAATGTATATTTTTTTATATATGTACTTATTGATTTATTAAATTTCTTATTATATACTATGAGTTTTAAGACATGTTCAATTCAATCAAGGGAAAGAGATGAGAGAGATTTTTATCAAAGGGAGAGGAGATGAGAGAAAGAAATGGGAAGAATTTTAATTACATATATGTTTTGTTCAAAGTATGAAAGGAAATAGGGTGAAGGATTTTAATTACAAACATGTTTAGTTCATAATGGGAAGATATCTATTTTAAAACTAATTTGCTTTTCAATCCTTGAAATTTCACCACAAGAATCATGATATTTATTATTATTTTTAAAACTAATTTGCTTTTCAATCCTTAAATTTATTATTATTTTAAAGCTTTTTTCTTTTTTCAATTTTCAATTTTTACGACAGTTTGCAAACAAATGCACGTTCAAAATCATATCCTACCTAAAAATATATCTTGTGCGTAGGCACGAGTTTGTTACTAGTTCATTAACGAAATATAATGATATTTACTATTTTTAATTCAAATACAAATTCATTAATGAAATATAAATATTCAATCAGAAAATATTATAAAACATTTTTTTAAAGGTAATGATAATAATATACAATTTTAAAAAATAATCAAATACAATAACATCTAAATAAAATTATTAGGCTTAATTACAATTTGGTCCCCCTTTTTTTACCTTATTCACGAAATTGATTCTCTATTTTAAATTTAAACAGTTTTGGCCACCCTCTTGTAATGGTGATTTGGTTATGCTTGGGGAAAGGAGTTCGATATCGAAGAAAGTAATGGTGATTTGGTTCGCTTGCGTATGATGTATTTGGAAGCCTAGGAATGCCAAAATATTCTGAATTGAGGACATTCGAGTTGAGAAGATTGTAGAAGAGGTTATAGTGATATCTTGGATGTGGTTAAAATTGAAAGCAAAAATGATTGAGTGTGATATCGGGCAATGGTTCTTAGATCCCAAAGCCTATTTAGGATTGGTGGCTGACTATCCCGTCGGGGGATGTTCTCTGATTTGATTTATAGGCTGGTTGGTAGTTTAGTTTCTTTTGAGCAGATTGGCCGGGAGGTTTGTTTTTTGTGCATTTTTTGGGAGGTGTAGAGAAGCTTTTAATCTGCTGCTCTGAGGTGTTTAGTGTAGAGTATCTTCTCAGTGCGTTGGTAGATTCGTTTTAGTAGTATGTTGTTTATATTTTAGTGCAGGTTTTGTTTACTGCATTCTTGGAGTTATTTTTCTTGGTTTTTGCTTGCTGGGTGTGTTGCATATCTCAGTCATTGGAGTGTTGGAGGTTTCTGACCCACCTCAACGACATCTTGTTTCTTCGAAATTGGTTTGCAACTTACTGTCATTGTGTCAAATCTTAGCATGTGTTTAAGTTTGGACATTGTTATCTTGGAGAAGGATTCACATGCAGTGATAACAACCTTTTGCTATGTGTTTTTCTTCAGTTATATGTTTGTTGTCTGCTGCTTTCGGTGTCGATCAACTGGTGTAATAGTGTTCGATTGTCTAGTGTTTAGGGAGAATCCCTTGGTTCAGCTATCTGATTGGAATCTGGAGGTCATGTGTTGTTTTAGAGTTGTTATTGGGGCTTCGTCTGCAGATCAAAGAATTCTTGTTTTGAAGTGAGTAGTGTAGCTTGTTTTCTGGCTGCAATTGAAGTTCCTCAATATATCATCTATCTGTTTTTAGTGTCTTTTTGCATTGTGTAATTTGGCTGGGATGTATCCAAACTTATTATTTTGGTGTATTAGAGGTTTAGTCTTATTTGAATTGGGTGCTTTGTTTTGGCTGTAGGTTGCTTGCCTTGGCAGTGGGGTCCCTTGGAAAGTTGCTTAGGTGTTTTCAGTTTTGTTAGGTGCTGATTTTATATTAATCCTATTTTGTTCTATGTTTGTTTCAAGGCATTTCGTATGTCTTTTAGTAATAATTTTTTGTTGTTTAAAAAAAAAGACTCTTAACCATAACAAATAAAATTATCAATTAGATAGAAAACCTAAAATTTAAATATTTTAATAAAATAAATTATGATTTTAAAAAATTGAAGTTAAATTCATTAATATAATTAGTTATATGGTAGCATTCCTCCCTTTTTCTTAAAAAAAACCGTGTTTCGGGGAAAAAAAATTATTCTACAAAAAATTATAACCCCTTCTACTTATGTTCTCATCTATTCCAAAATATATTAAATTAAACTATCATTTAAAACATTCATTCCCCTCTCCTCCAAAACTCCAACTTCATTTAGATAGAAAACACAATTTCTATAACATTTTATTTCTTACCATTTATAATTATATGATTTTATTATATTAGTTAAAATATAATTTATTATTATTTTATTTTATTTATACATGGCCAAAATTGACAAGAATTAGGAATAACTACCATTCATCGAGGATGGGAATTAAATTTCAACTCTAACCAAATATATACGTTAAGATTGAGAAAACCACTTTTATATATATTATAAAAGACACAAAAACCACCTTCAATCTACTAAATAAGTACTTAAAACAAATCTTTGATTGAAACTCTATAAATTAGTCATTATAATAACTATTAAATGGATAAGTAGTTAAAACAAATCTTTGGTCGAACCCTATAGATTAGTCATTATAGTAACTCTTAATTGTAGTGACCCCATTGCCCCTTGTTGTTTTTGTATTCTTCTCATCCAATTTTCCTTTTGAGCCATGCAATTTCCTATTTCCTTTTCAACCAATACATTGCACGATCCATCTCACCTTTGCCTCACTTCACCTCAAAGTATAGTAAATTAAACTCTAAGGAAATAATATCTCTATTCATTATTTTTTCATATTACTTTCTCCCCATTCCTCCCATATCTACACTAACTTTTTTGACCAAACACAATATAGTCATAAAAATAATATTTAACTCATTCAATAAAAATATATTTTTTATTAAATAAAATAAAATAAAATTAGTAGTATTATTATTATGACTATCTAGTGAGATCCAAACGGTTTTATGAAGGAAGAATATTATTGTTCCTTCCTTCGCCAACTCATCTGACAAAATATTCAAATTTTTCCAAACCATCATCATCATCACCTTCACCACCATCACCACCAAACACTTTCAACTTTTTTTTTTCAGAAGAAAAAAAAAAACACTTCAACAACATTAACAAAAAAATATTTCCATTTTTTTTGGTGTTTGGTTTTTTGTTAACATCATCATCATCATCATTGATTCATTATCATTATAACAATTTTCTCTTTCCTCTCTTTGAGGGAGGTTGTTTGTTTTTCGCAACAACCTCAACCTCAACCTCAACCTCCTCGCTTCCAACCTCGTAACTTTCGCTTTCTGTAATGGAATGCTTTTCTCGATTTGGCTAATGCATTTCTGGATTTTCTTTTCTATAACCACTTCATAACCATTCAAACCCTTATCCTTTTTTTCATTTTTTTTCAACATTTTCCCCTTTTCATTTGCATTTTCCTCACAAAATCTCGAATGGGTTCTTCTTCAATTGCCCTATTTTACGTAATTTACAACGGGTCGGTGAAATCTTGACTTGGCCACGTCAATTTGAACAAAAAGCTTCAAAAAATTTCTTTGAATTTTGCATAAAAATTCAATTTTTTTTGTTTTTTGTTTTCTTGTTTTACGAACATGATGTTATCAGCTTCACCGTCTTCTCTTGCGAGAAGCTCTTTGGAAGAGATGCTTGAATCTCTTCGCCAGAGAGACGAAAGTGAGAAGCCGAAAGACCTGCCGCCGGCATTGCCAGCTAGGCCGATGTCGAGAGGTAGGTTGCCGCCGGCGAGAAGGTCTTTGCCTAAAAGCTTTAAGGTGGATGGAGATGGTGAGAAGGAAGTGGGGCATAAGAGGAAAGGCAGTTTTGGGAACAAGAAGTTAATGTTGGATGTTGAATCTCCTTATGTGGTTGTTTCAGAAGAGAATTGTGTTAGTGAACATCCTTCGCCTCGTCCTGTTTTTTTGATTCCGGTGGATGATTCTTCTGTTGCGTCCGTGGCTCCGCCTTCGCCGGAAGTGGAGGAGAATGACAATGTTTCTTATTTCATCAAAAAGGTAACTGTGGACTTGAAATCTTTGTATTGCTTGTTAATAATTTATGTTGTAACTGTGGACTTGCAATGGTAATAGGTTTTGGGTGAAGTTTTAACAGTGGTTTCTTTGTGTTAATCTGTTTTTTTCTTCTCTACTTTTTATATTTTATAGCTCTTGAATTATGAAGGTTTTGATGTTTGTATTGAATATGGAATGTAGTGTTAGGAAGAAAATATGTTTGTGATATTTCACCAGTACCTTTCAGAGTTGCAAATAAAAACACATTGTTAACAAGATTAAGGGTTTTTGTTAAACAATGCCTTAAGTTAAGGAATCAAATTCGGCGAAAAACAAGTGTAAAGTGGAAGCTGAGTTTTGTTGCTTTTGAATTTTCACTGTGCATTGGGACGAGAAAAAACCTTGCTGGAAGCAGATCCAAAAATATGCTTAGATGATTAAAATTGATGCCAGGTTGTTTCTAATTTAAATTTAAAGATATCATTATACCTTGTTATTTATCGGCGGATACATTGGTTCAGAGCCTTTATTTGGCTGATACTTCATACCGGCACCACTTAGGTTAATAGTAGGCATAGGTAAATTGCTTGTGTCATTGATATTTCTAGTCTAACTTTCTTTTGTTTCCGTTGTTTCCCCAAAGCCTTCCTTTTGCTGGATTATGTAATTGAACTACATCAAAGTTACTTTGAAAACATTATTATTAATATAGTAATTTATGCATCAGTGGTATGTTTTGGTTTTGCATATTAACTACTGGCGTGGATTCAAGTCAAGACCCGAGAGGATGATGACATGTGTGTTTGTGTTAAACTTTCTTTTTGTTTTTGGTTTTTCCACAGAAACTTCATGTTTGGTGTAGGCAACCAAAAGGGAAGTGGGGTCTGGGAAGAATACAGTCAACTTCAGGAGAACAAGCAAATGTTTCACTCTCAAATGGAGAAGTAAACTTCTAAACTATTTGTCTCCCTGTAAAATAGTATTCGTTGTTGAATATACAAGATAATAACATGCTATTTTTGTCGGCGAGTTGTTGTTGCAGATTATGAAAGTGGCTAGAACAGAGCTCCTACCGGCTAATCCTGATATTTTAGAGGGTGTGGATGATCTTATACAGCTCAGCTATTTGAACGAGCCCTCAGTTCTTCACAATCTTCAGTTTAGATATTCTCAAGATATGATATATGTATGTCTGCTGCCATTGCTTGTTTTTCTACTCAGATGATTATCTATGTATGTATTCTCAAATTCTACTTTTGCTTTCTGCATGCAGAGTAAAGCAGGGCCGATTTTAATTGCATTCAATCCCTTCAAAGATGTACAGATTTACGCAAACGAGTATGTCTCTGCTTATAGAAATAAGACTCTTGATAGTCCTCACGTTTATGCCATGGTAGATGCAGCTTATAATGAGATGATAGGAGGTAAATGAAATTCCCCTTTCTTTCTCCTTTTTTGAAATTGTTATAACGAATTTGTATATTATGATATATGATATGTTTATAAAGGTTTTCTGTTTACGTGTTGTTCATTGCAGATGAAGTAAATCAGTCCATTATCATAAGGTTAGAACTCAATACATTAAAGGCTCTTTTTGTATATGTTCCTGAAACTGAAATTGATAGGATTAAAATTTTATCGTAAAAAGTAGATATAGTCACTTGAAAACTTGTTAATAACCACGGTTACAAATTTGTTTATAGTGGCGAGAGTGGAGCTGGGAAAACCGAAACAGCGAAAATTGCGATGCAATACTTAGCTGCTCTTGGTGGTGGAAGCTGTGGGATAGAAAATGAAGTTCTTCAGACAAATGTTATACTAGAAGCTTTTGGCAATGCAAAAACATCTAGGAATGACAACTCTAGCAGATTTGTGAGTTTTTGTTTCTTTTCATTTTGGCGAAACTTACTCCTGTTGTGTTTCTTTATTACAGTTCTACTTGAAATATTTTCTATCAAATATGTTCATAAAAAGACAAATTTGCAATTTCGATCTTCCTTTTACTTTTCTGAATGCTGTGTAGTGCAGTGTTGTGAAATAGTAGCTATAGCGACACTAAAGCATTATAATGGAATTAATCGCTATTGTTATGCGATACACTGTTTAGTACAAATTGTTGTCAGATAATGACTATTATAGTAGCATTTTAATAAAAAACTATTTTCTGCTATCTACAATTGACTACATTGTTGGAAAATTTTGTGGATGGTATCTAATGGCTGAGCAGTTTAATATTTTTCATTTTTAAATTGGTGCAGGGGAAGTTGATTGAAATTCATTTCAGCGCAACAGGAAAAATGTGCGGGGCTAAAATTCAAACCTGTAAGCATGTTCACGTGAAATATCTTTCCTAAAGTTTGTTCTTTTCGGATATCCATTTTTTTATTTATTAAGTCTACTGACTCGATTTATTCTGATGACTTCTGTTTTTCATATGCTGACTCCCATATGCGAACATAAACAGTTCTATTAGAAAAGGTAACTAGTGGTTCGTATTTGAACATAAGTGTGGAACTGAAATACTTAATTTTCTCAATTTCTTATATCATCTTGTCTTCTGTCGGCAGTCAAGAGTTGTTCAACTGGCTGATGGCGAGAGGTCTTATCACATATTTTATCAACTTTGTGCCGGATCTTCACCTGATATTAAAGGTGTTTTTTCTATACAACCTATCGATTAGTTGGCATACTTCTCTACTTTGTATCATCTTCGAGATCTCAATGACCTTCTTTGAGATAATTTGTTTAAATATGACTTTTGAGTTGGATCCTCCCGATATAATTGGGGAGGATCTCCTCTACTGTTTAATTTTATTTACAAACTTTAAACAGACATTTTCTACATGGAAATTCATTGACACCAATTTCTGCTCGCAAAGGCATAAATTACATTTGCCTTTTGATTACTCACAAAATCATATTCTTTTTCCTATGCAGCGAGATTAAATCTTAGAGCGGCCAGTGAATATAAGTATCTAAATCAGAGTGACTGCATGACAATTGATTGGGTTGACGATGCGAAAAAGTTTCATAGGCTGAAGGTATATATTATTTGACAGGTCATTTGTTGAATAATAACTTCAAGTTTCTTTACACCCCCCTAACATCTGATGTTATATTTTTTCTCCTTCTGGCATCTGTACTTTTCCCCCAGAAAGCACTGGATGTCGTTCAAATGTGCAATGAGGATCAAGAGCGAGCCTTTAAAATGATTGCTGCGATATTGTGGCTGGGAAATATAACATTCCTAGATAATGATAATGAAAATCACATTGAAGTGGTGAATGATGAAGGTAGAATAAATAATATATGCCTAATGTTTTTATTATTGCCACATGTTGCAATTAGATTTTATTTTGATTTGCCAGGAAAAGACCAAATATTATGAAAATAAATCTTAAAAGTGACTTTTGTTTATATTTTCTTTTGGCAGCTGTAAGCAATGCTGCTTCCCTGATGGGTGTCAGTTCTCAGGAGCTAATAACAGTATTATCTACACGTAAAATTCAAGCTGGCAAGGATACTATCACCAAACCACTGACATTACGACAGGTCCATTTATTACTTGAACAATTCAGTTGGGGAATGTTTTGTTACAATTTTTTTTTAAAATAAAAGCTAATGACTTTTACGAGTTTTGATCCGTTTGTTACAGTTTCTTGAAGCAATAAAGAAGAATCTGAGAAGAAAATCTTAAAACTATTTAAAATGAGAAGCTTTTCTTAAACATCATTTTTTGTATGTGTTTTTTTTTTATTTTTAAATTAATTATGATAATCAAACAGAAAAAAAAATAGCTTTTGCTTTTCTTAAAGATCTCTAAATTTTTTAATGTCAGAATACTTTTTTCATAATCTGTAACAAACAGGTTGGGAATCCATTCTTTAATTTTTATAACTAGTAGTTGTATTTTATTAGGTCTAACATCTTATTTAATTTTCAGGCAATTGATGCAAGAGATGCATTAGCAAAATTCATCTATGCAAACTTATTTGACTGGCTTGTAGAACAAGTTAACAAGTCACTTGAAGTTGGTAAAAGACGAACTGGGAGATCCATAAGTATCCTTGATATTTATGGGTTTGAGTCATTCCAGGTTTGTAATTTCTATTAATGGGCTTATTGTTCCTTCTTAGACTATATGTATGCGTTCTGATAATTAATTAATATTTTTGTAGAAAAACAGCTTTGAACAGCTTTGCATAAACTATGCCAATGAGAGGCTTCAACAACATTTCAATCGGCATCTGTTTAAATTGGAGCAGCAGGTCAGTGATTATGTTAAGCTTCAATTTAAGTTAAAAATTATGAAATAGATAGTGTTCTTTAGTAAGCTTGATATGCATTACAGCAACACCACAACTTACATATATCTTGTTTCAGGACTATGAAATAGATGGCGTTGATTGGACCAAAGTAGATTTTGAAGACAATCAAGAGTGTTTGGATCTCTTTGAAAAGGTATTGATATAGTTTAAGCTTTCATCCATTTTATGGACAATATGCATTTATATTTTTCAAAAAACATAATGTTCTAGCCTCAGAATTATAGCTCGCGTTAACATTATTCTGTGAATATCGAAGAAAAAGAAAACATTATTCTGTGAATTAGTACTCATTATGTACCGTTTGTCAATGTGCAGAAGCCTATTGGGTTACTCTCTCTGTTGGACGAGGAATCAAATTTCCCAAGGGCCACTGATCTAACACTTGCCAACAAACTTAGGCAGCACCTGCAATCTAATCCTCGCTTTAAAGGGGAATGGGGAAAGGGTTTCAGTGTTTGTCATTATGCAGGAGAGGTTAGTAGCTTCTCAGTACTTAAGACGCTTTGTCATTTGGTTGCTTTAAATTTTATTTGTTGCATTATTATTATTAGTCAAATTGAACCTTCCATTTAGTTTTTATGAAATATACTTTCTCTGTTTCTTTTTAACTTCAGTTTGTTAGAAGAATTTTTTTTCCTATTTATTTATCATTTTCAAAATTTCTTAATATGATTATTTAGTTTCTAAATGTAATTTATCTTTCTATCTCCCTACCTTTTACCAACGATTTTTGCTTATGTAGTTTCTTATTCCCATGCAATTCACTAAAAAAAATCATTAACTTGGAATATTGTGATAAAATATTTTGGCTGGGAGTTTTTGTAAGTAACTTTGTACTTATGTTTCTGATCATTCTTACCTGGTCCTCAATCAGGTCGTGTATGATACAAATGGCTTTCTAGAAAAGAACAGAGATCCAATGCCTTCTGATTCTATTCAACTACTATCATCATGTAGTTGTGAACTGCTGCAGTCATTCTCCAAGACGCTTAACCTGTCTCAGAAGCAATCAAATTCTCAGCACGTAGGTGCTTTAGATTCACAAAAGCAGAGTGTTGGCACAAAGTTCAAGGTATTCTTATAGCATTACTTGACCTAGTTTTACATCTTCAATATTTCCAAAGAAATGATTGACATTGTTGATTTGACGGTTATAACTGTGGATGCTGAACTTAGATAAATGACACTGGTAAATAAGAAAAATGGCATAATTTGACGTGAATTAGGACCTAAGTAGCTCCGACACTTTGGATGAGTGTGTTTCTGGTGTCTGACACATGTAGTTAAATTCAAACACTTATATTTTCTTATATTATTATCGGTCTATGTGCCAATGTCAATGTCGTGCCTGGTGTCCGTGCTTTTTAGATTAGGACTGACGTCTTTTTTTTCTATTAGGGTCAATTATTCAAGTTGATGCATCAGTTGGAGAGCACGACGCCTCACTTTATTCGTTGTATAAAGCCAAATGCAAAGCAACTTCCTGGCATATATGATGAAGATCTTGTTATCCAGCAGCTCAAGTGTTGTGGAGTTTTGGAGGTTGTTAGGATTTCAAGGGCCGGATATCCTACTCGAATGACACATCAAGAGTTTGCCCAAAGGTAATGATTAAACCAACTATATTTTTGGATTATCTTTAGTAGTATGCTGATATATACATTCCTGCATATATTTAGATATGGCTTTCTGCTATATGAGGCTTACATATCTCAAGATCCGCTGAGTGTCTCGGTTGCTGTTTTGCAACAATTTAATATCCCTCCTGAAATGTACCAAGTTGGCTTCACCAAACTGTATCTTCGAACAGGGCAGGTATGTCTGAGTAGCTTCGTGTTTTAACGGTATTTAGTGCAAAGAGCTGTGGTATTGGTGGACGGTTTGTGGTTTGGCTGGCAATTAGATTCATGCATGGATTAAACATCTAATTATTAAAGTGGGTCCTGTACGCTTTTAGCAATTTTCAGTGGACCCTTAATGTATTGATGGTTTATGGTTTTGTTTATTCATTTCACCACAAGCATTTTGGTTCTGAAATTTCTTTGCTTGACTAAATATTTAATTATATATTGACTTCAATAGCTTTGTTTTAGCTGGTTTTTATATCATTTCATTGAATGGTTTATCTGATGCGATCATTCTTGTGCTTCGGTTGATTTTTGTAGGTTGGTGCACTCGAGGATAAGCGAAAACATGTTTTGCAGGGTATACTCGAAGTTCAAAAATGTGCTCGCGGTCATCAAGCTCGCAGTCATTACAATAAACTTAAGAATGGAGTGACAACTTTACAATCATGTAATGCATGGATATCAATATTAATTTACTTGCATCAAAAGTTTTCAGCGGGTTCTTCGTTTTATGCACTTTCCTTTTTTTTTTTACATAGTTTTCAAGATACTTTACAAAAATAGTAGTTAATATTAAACAAAAAGAAACGTGGTGCTTTTTTGCTTAACCTCGGTCATAGCTTGTGTGTATATATCTTAATTGTTATTTTTATTATATTGTAGTTGTTCGTGGAGAAATTGCGAGAAGAAAATATGGTGTTATGGTGAAGTCTTCTATAACTATTTCTTCTGAAAATATGGAGGAAATACAGGCTATCATAACACTACAATCTGGTTAGTGTGCTTTTTTGTTGTTGAAAAGTTTACCCTTGGTACAAACAAGCATGACATATGATTTTCTTAATATTCATTTTCTTTTTATGTAGTAATCCGTGGGTGGTTGGTTCGAAAGCATGATAGTAGATTTGATAAGTTTAGGAAATATCGTGAGAATGGAAAATGTAGGCGAAGATCGCGTTCAAAGATTCCAGAAGACAAGGTATTTTACCATGCATGTTATTATTTTGAAGTAAAAAAAGCAATAAATTCTAATCATGTCCTTAAAGTTAATTTAGATAAAGTCATTGATTTGCGTCTTTTTAAGTTGATTTACACATGTAAATAGTATTCTACTTTTTATTTCCATTCAACTGAAAATTGTCAATTTGGAGTTTCAATCCTAAAGTCATGTAGTATTCAGTTATTTCCAACCCATCATTTTAATGAGACAATTGTTTGTGAAAGTGTTTGATATGAAAAATCCTTTAAGGCTTGATCGGTTTCAGAAAGGGTTTTTTGTTTTGCACTTTTTTCCTATTATTCGAAGATTCAAATAGCTTTCTGTTAAGTTAATTCTTGTAGTTGTTATCCTATATTGCTGAGTTCCATTAGATTTTGAAATTCTCAACCTTTCAATGTGATAAATGACTTGTTCTTTTTTTAACAGGACGCATCGAAAGATCGGGTCCAAAACCTGCCTTCGGCTTTAGCAGAACTCCAAAAGCGGGTTGCCAAGGCCGAAGCAACTATAGAGCAAAAAGAAGAGGAAAACGCCGAGTTGAGGGAACAGCTAAAACAATTTGAGAAAAGGTGGATTGAATACGAGAAGAAGATGAAAACAATGGAGGAAATGTGGCAAAGACAAATGTCATCTTTGCAAGTATGTTTTCTATTTGTTAACTGTAAGCGTTTGAAACCTAAAAATTCTATGGAAGATTCTAATTGCAATTTCAATGCAGATGAGTCTTGCCGCAGCCAGAACCAGCCTTGCATCTGAGAATGTGAATGCTCAACCTTCAAGACATGACGTTGCATCACCTATGCCTTTCTGTTATGATTCTGAGGACGCCACGTCGATGGGATCTCGAACGCCTCGAACGCCTGGTTGCAGCACACCTTTGAAATATTCTACCAGTCTTTCTGATGTGAGAGCAACAATGAGAGATGGTCACGGTACTTTAAGCAATCTGATGAGAGAGTTCGAGCAGCGCAAACAGACATTCGATGACGATGCAAGAGCTTTGGTTGAGGTTAAATCAACAGGTCATTCGAATTCCATTGATGAACTGCGGAAACTGAAACACGTGTTTGAAGGGTGGAAGAAAGATTACAAGATTAGATTAAGGGAGACAAAAGCAAGAATAAAATTAGGGAATTCGGAAATGGAAAAAAATCGGCGAAAATGGTGGGGGAAATTGAGCTATAGAGCACTATAACATTACAAAGTGTCCTCTTTGCCAAAAGAAAAGTGTATAAAAAAGAGAAGGACCAAAGACAAAATTGGAAAATGTGTGAAACTAGTGTACTTGTTGGTTCAGGGAAAATATGTTGTAAATCTACCAATTTTGTTACATGGTGGAAGATGTGTGTATAGTTGTAGCAGTTTAGGTTTGCATAGTTGTATTGAGTAGTATAGTTTTACTATGTACATTTTGTTGTTACTGTAATGTGAAACACTGCATAAGGGTATAAATAGTGACTGTTAAGGAATATTCATGACATTTGTTTGGTTAAGGAGATAGAAAACTTAATTGCAGAAAAAACAATTCTCTTTATTGAAATTCTCATTTTTCTTTATTTTAAAATGTTTCTATGTTTGATTGTTTTCCGTCTATTTTCATTTATTTTCCTTTATTCTCCATTAAAGAGAAAATTAAATGTATTGATTGTATTTTTATTATATAAATTTGTCTTTGACTGAAGATAAAATATAACAGTTTTTTATTTATAATTTCTAATATGGTATCAAGAGCATTAGGTTAGGATTTACAGTAAAGTTTTTCACAACTAAATTTTTTTGTTCGATTGGCTTCACATATCTGTTTAGCCTCCTATGACGAATAACAACAACAGGTGGTCTTTTCCGTATAGGCCTTCATCGGATCCAATCATGACGAACAACTGCAATCTGAGTCGTGCGTTTGTCGTCGAAATGACGGTGGTCGTGGAAACGGTGGTGCCCGCAGAGATGACAAATTTGTTCGACCCGCTTCACATATCTGTTTAGCCTCCTATGGTGAATAACAACAACAGGTGGCCTTCCCCGTATAGGCCTTCATCGGATCTAATCATGACGAACAACCGCAATCTGAGTCGGGCGTCTGCCACGGAAACGACAGTGGTCGTGGAAGCGGTGGTGGCCAAAGAGATGGCATACAAGATTAAACATCGGTGGTCGCAAATATTGACACTAATGGCGGTAATGACCAAGAGGGTTCCTCATACTCCTTCAAGGTCAATATTCCTAAAATAAATGAGAATAACTATAATGAATGGGCTCAAAATGTTCGTTTGGTATTGGATAGCAAAGGGAAGCTTGGTTTCTTAACATGAGCGGTAGCTGAACCAGCAACAGGAAACCTTCGTTACAAACAATGGAAGTCTGACTTGATTATTGCATGACTGGTAAGCTTTAAGGAAACTGGAATAGGTAAGCCTTACATGTTTTCACCTTCTGCAAAGGATCTGTGGAAAGCTATTAAGGAAACATACTCTAATATTCAAAACTACTCTCAAATTTTTGGTTTAAAATCATAGTTGTGGCATGCGAAACAAGGTGACAGAAGTGTAACTACTTATTACATTGAGCGGCTGACTTTGTGGCAAGAGTTGGATCTCTGTTATGATGACAGTTAGATGTGTACATATGATAACACGAAATCGTATATATATTTTGATGCATAATTCAACTAAAGTCTAACCGTTTTCGATCCGATTTCGGGTTATTTCCGTGTTATTTGTCTGATGTTTTGCAGGTATTCAACGATCACGTCTAAACAAGGCAACATGAAGAAAAGAAGCAATCTCAGATGAAATATGGACGAAAAAGGAGTGAAAACACAATGAAAAGCGCAGGAAGCTGTTTTTGCTGATGTGACGACCGCCACAGCTTCATGATGACCGTCACACGGGTGACGACCGTCACACCTTGTGACGACCGTCATGCAGGCAAAAACGCCCCACTTCAATTTCACGTAACAGAAGCAGTTCCAATTCCCATAGAGTGGACCACTACTCCCTAAATTATCTGCCTCAAAGTCCATCATCTTCAATGATAACCGTTGGGATTCCACTTCTATAAAAGGGGAAGCAGGGGACTTCAGAAAGTGTGCTGCATTCATACAACGAAGTGCTGCCAAATTTATTTCCAGAGCATATTTTTCAGTTTTATATTCTTATTCGTTTCTCTTTATTTCTTATGTATTCCATTTTCATTCTTCTGTAATTTCTACTTTCATTGTACGATCAAATTGGCATAGAGATCAGAATCCTGCCAACATCTGTGGAGGATCTGCCCAAAGGCCAATTGGAATATTTACAGGTTTCTCATTTCAATCGATTCCAGTTTTATTATAATGCAAATTATTATTTATTGCTTTTATTTATGTTTTATCTTTCCCAAATCCATGTCTAGCTAAACTTAAGTAATCGATATGTGGTAATAATTCGAATGGGATTTGATAACAACTGGTTGAAAAACTTTATTTTCAAAAGTAATTTACGGTCTGAGTGTTTAAAATTGATTTACTGAATAAACTTCATCGCGAAAGCGAGAACTTATTTAAAAGTAGTTTTGCCACGAAAGTGGGAAATTAATTAAGATACGAACCAACAAGCGAAAGCTGCGGTAAGGTCAGATAGTAAACACTAGTCATTCATTTTAATAACAGCGAAAGCACTTTAAAATGAATTAGAACTTAGAGATTTCCAAAAAATGATTTTAACCCCGAACGGGATACGAAAGTGTACGTTTGGCCCTTAGGATTATGATTAGCGTCAATAACCATCGTGAGGCGAGAATCTTTAAATCACTATTTTCTGCTTAAAGAGACTCTGAAAATTATTTCATACACCGATAACTTGTCAAATCCCTGAAGAACACAATTACTACATATCGATTCAACCATTTATAATCTAAGTAGCATTCTTAGTTCCCTTTTAGTGACAATCTTATTCCCTTAAACATATTCTACCTAGCTAAACATAGTAACTCCCGAGAACACTAGTTTGATTACGAGTCCCTGTGGGATAGATATCTAGTATTACTACGCGATAGACTGTGCACTTGCAGTTAGGTTGTATTAGACATAGAAAGTCGCGATCAACATAAGACAGCATTCTATTTTTCAAGAGGCAAGAAAATAATCGTGTATTCATGTTTTTCGTTGGGCTCAATAAAGACCTTGATGAGGTAAGAGCTAAAGTTCTAGAAAATATATCATTGTCAACTCTTCGTGAAACTTTTGCTGAAATAAGAAAGGAGGAGGCACGACAAGAAATTATGATACGCAAGACACCACAAAGCTCTGAATCTGAAGGCTCGGCTCTGCCTACTGGGAACCTTGACGAGTGAAAAAGGTCAAACAAAGTTTTTTGGTATGATCACTGCAAGCGCGAATGGCATATGCGTGAAACTTGTTGGAAGCTCAAAGGCAAACCTCTTAACTAGAAGAAGAAAGGTGGTCGTGCATTTCAAGCTAATAATTCTAATCAAGGGCAACAATCCCCTCCATATAAGCTTCCACTCACTGTGGAACAACTAGACAGATTGTACAAACTCCTCGAGTCTCCAACTCCTTCTTGCTCTATAGCAACAAAAGGTAATTTTACATTTCTTAGTGTCAGTCTCAGTCATACCTGGATAGTAGATCCTATTAGTCGATAGGTTTCGATCTAGAGGGGTGAATAGATCACAAATTTTACAACAAAAAAACTTTTGACAAAAATCTATTTTCAAAATAAGGTGAAGCGGAAAAACGACCTGAATCGAATCTTCTAACCGAATCTACTATCAAAAAGCAATATATGTATCGCAAACCAAACGGAGTGATAATGAACGTAAATGTTCAACAAGAATCAAGCTATGAATCAATTAAATGCAATGTTAATCGTAACTCGTATATTCAATGAACCAAAACACAATCAAAATACACAAAAATAATTTATCGAACACTTGATGTGCAATCGATAACAATTGGAAATATAATTTATTTTGTTGATGTTAAAAAACTATCACAATCAAAGTGATTGTGATTATATCAACAACAACACCTTTAAAAGATAGTAGAAAACAATTTCCAATCAAATTGATCAAACAACGACGAACTCGATAAATTGCATAATCAACAATAAAAGAGATAAAGTGATGAAGAGAGAGAGACCAAGGTTTGCCTAGGCAGTTCCCCAATTGGCCTTGCTATGGGTACATCTGCCCTCAATTCAAATTCGAATTGAGATAGTATTATTAACTTTTTCTTTGCAAAAATGTTTATACAAGAGATGAAAAATGCAAACCCCAAAAGTCCTATTGTTTTGTATTGATTCTTCCACCTCTAAACACTTGATCAAAGCTTGATCAACTGACCAACGATGCGGCTACAGTCCTCCGATTATCCCGAGCATGCAACTTGTTGAAAACCAAGATTTCCGAACACAATTCACCGTATTGCGCTACTCCATTGCAAGGAAACTACCTTGTCCCAAGGCTTTCACTCAGTCGAATCTGTGTTGACGTGATCTTGTCCAAAACCTTCAAATCAACACGATCTTGAAGGAAACCCCCACCTTGATTTTCTTATTTGAAAGACACAAAGCTCCCAACCCAATATTCTCGGTTACACCAAACCTAATTGGACATTATCAATCCTAATCTAGATGGTCACCCAATTAAAAAATGATTATGTGTAGTTCAATTGCGTGTGTGCATGGAATAAGGGATGAAGATGATGGGAAACTTTATAATCTGGTTTCTTTTAGGTTTTATTCACTAAGAAACCTTGCCTATAAGAAGATGCATGTATGAGTGTATATAGGTATGTGAATGAATGAGCAAAAGGAATGCAAAAAGTTGGAGCAAAACTGAAATTTTTGGATGGGAAAAACATATAGGTCGGTCTATGAAAGCAATGAGTCAGCCTATGCGTGTTGTTTAGGTCAACCTGTGAATGTCATAGATCGGCCTATCAGATAGCCTGTAAGGCAACCTGTGGGCAGAACCTACAGGCTTTAATACTGCTCCATGAGAGACAACCTGAAGAGTCCATATATGTCGGCCTATACTAAAGTTAAGGCTCGTATTGGTCAGCCTGTTCTAGCATAGATCGGCCTGAAATGGTGTTGAATGCCAAAAAATGTGTTTTTCGATGCACATATGAGGTTGACTCCTTTTCAAACTGATTTAATTTCTTCCTAATGGCAAGATGCATATCTAGAATGA